TTATTTTTTTTCAACATAATACATATATTCATTTACAAATTTATTTATAATAAAAAATATTTGTTAAATTATTGAACGAATAAATAAAAACTTATTTTCGATGACTTACATTACACTACAAAAAAACACTACAATTCCAACGAAAAATTCCAACGGCAAAAATTTCCGTTGGAAATTCCAATGAATATTCCAACAAACTTAATTTTATGTTGGAATAAGTGTTGGATAGTTGAGGAATTCCAACGGATTTTTTTCTGTTGGAATAGCTGTAGGAATTTATTTCCATAGGATTTTCCGTTGGATATTTGCTATTCCAATGGTCATTTTTCTAACGGATTTTTATACGTAGGAATATCCATTCCAACGGAAATTTTCCGTTGGAATGTGAGAGTTTTTTTTGTAGCGTTATAAATTGAAACTTCTATCAAATATTAGTTAATATTTTAGTAAATCCGCAATATTTTAGTAAACAGTTGATACAAGTTTTAGTAAATAATATAATCTTTATTATAGGATATAAATATTGTTGTATTTTTTTTATTTTATTAATTATATAATGATAATAATTGAAATAATTAAATATTTGTAAAATAATATATCTAATTAAATTGCATTTGTGATACTAGAATAATTTAAAATAATGAGAATAAAAGCAATATTTTGTGGTATAAAATATAACGCGAACGATTGAAGACGAACATGATTTTTGTGGAGTAGAATAAACTCTTCACTACAGTACATATAAGATGGTCTTAGTCAACCCAAATCACAGTAGGGTTTTATATTATTTTGCAAGAAACTTGGTTGAAACCCAAGTGGATCCGATCCACGATTAAGTTTATTGGGGTTTGAGTTGAAAAAAGCCCGACTTTTTGTTTGGAGAACTTGTAAAAGTGAAATTATGTAAACCTCAAAGAAAGTTGTGGACATTGACACCACTAGGCAAAGCATGTCGTGTTATTGTGTTATTTTGTATTATCGTGTTATCTATTCTATTTAATCATAAATATTATCATAAAATTTAAATTTAACTAATTTTTTTTTTATCACGTTATTCATGTCATTTGTCTCCATAATCGCAATTATTATCAACGCGACAATTTATGTTTGTGTTTAGTAACACAGCGAAAACGTAAATGATTGAGAGAATCAAGAAAAAATTCTCAATACATTTTTATTCAATCAAAATCAACTACCTCCAAACAAAAGAATTGGAGTCTTAAATATATAGATCTCCTCTCGACGCTAACGAAATAACTTATCTACCAAGAAAATGACTACACAATATCGTCTCCATTATTCTTCCACTATGAGAAGGATTTGCCATCGATTTCAACACAATCTCTTCTTCATTAAAATTATCACCGTGGAAAGACTCCAAATCTTTGACATTGAATACGTCAGACGTGTGAATGTGCAAAGGCAAATGAAGGCGATAGGCATGGGAAAGCAAACCTCGACATTCTCACCAAGTCGTCAACCACCACCCCCTCTATTGATCCAATAGGCAAAAACTTCTCTATTTGAGCAGCGTACTTTATAATATCGATAACTTGTCATAAAAAAAAAAGGCAGGCCTTCATATTCGGTCGACTCCTCGTCATAAAAAAAATAAAATAGAATAAAAAAAATTGTCCCTCACACTCGGTCGACCCCTCGTCATAAAAAAGAGGCGGACCCGCATATTCGGTCGACCCCTGCTCATCCAAGAACTCGGTGGCGTCCAAGTCCTCGGATAATTCTGGGATCTCGACCTGAAACGATGACATCTAACGCCGATCATCGGTGAAGATGCCCTCGTCCCACGCCGCCATCGTACTGAAAGAGATTATCTCGAAGACAATGTCCCCAAGATCATCGTCACGGAAGAACGACGGAGGAGACCGGGAGCGGGGCGCCCCACGAGCACCTCCCAGCGATCGTCACGTACTCCGTCCGGCACGCGGTTCGTACGATTAGACATGGCCACGGGCCGAACCGGCCCGTGGCCCGACCCAGACCGAACCGGCACCGGTACCGGCATGAACAGTGGCGGGCATTTGAACCGGACCGCGGCCAAT